CGTTACACCAGTCTACAACAGGAAATCGGGACATTTATACGGGTGTCGCTGAAATCACTTCTGATTTTCAGGACTACCGTAACTTACAGGAAGAGCATTGGGCCCAACAAGAGTTGCGGTGGGCTGAGCAAGATCAAAGATGGGCTACTCAAGAGCAGCACAACCGCAACATTCACCATCTGCTGAGTGATATCCATAGAGTTCTTGTGCTCCCCACACAGTCGCAGCAGCCATCAGCATCCCAACCCCAATGGCCTCCCTACTATCCTACAGATTACCCTTCACAGTTCCCTCCATATCCTCCGCCTGGTCCTCAATAGGACGGCTGCCTCTCTTCAAGCATCGAGGACGATGCTATATTTTAAGCTTGGGGAGGGGTATCCATCCATGCATTATCCCGTTGCATGTAGGTTGCATGTAGTTTTGTACATATTGCATTAATTTTCATTTCATTTTCTTTTTCATTTTTTTTTTCTGCATGGAAAATTTTTCAAAAACCAAAAAGATTTTCTTTCTATTCTAATTTTTATTATTTTCTTTGCATCTAAATTTTTGCATTGCATTCATTGCATAATTACAAAAAAAAATAAATAAATAAATAACGATCCAATCCCAAGCAACCGAATCTTTTCAAAACAGTTGAGCAGGTAAATGAGTCATGTGCCTTGAAATTGGCTTGCTTTTTTATTGAAAAAAATCTAAAAGCAAGTTAATCACACACGAGCACATCTCCCGAAGCTACTTGTGCAAAACAGAAAATGAGAAGATTGTCAACACTGGAGCATAACAGCAGGTATGAGTCGATTCTTTGGGACATATGACCGGTCTTATGAGTAGTAATGCTCAATTGAACTTAAAATGTCAAATTCAAAAGTTCATAAAAAGAATGCAAAATCTCAATGTCCCGCCTTCCAGCGCTCTTAAAAGTCTTTCTACTTATTCCCTTTTATATATACCCTGCTTGAGGACATAGCTTTCAACTATACTTACGGGTTTTTGCATGTTAACATTTAGTCCCCGAAAAATGTCTTAGAAGTCCTCACGGTAATAGACCGTGAGATGTCCCACAATAGAAAAGTCAAGGACGGAAATATAAGGAAATTGGCCAAATAAACAAATTAATAAGAGTGTTATGTGTTAACTTAGTTATTTGTATATGTGTTATTTATTAAAAAAAAAAAAAAAAAAAAAAACTATTATTAAGTTAATCTGTGACCTTTGGGATTCGAACAAGTAAACTCTGAGGGGTGTTCTACACCTAATCACCTAAAGCTAAATTGTTTGGGATTGATTGGGTTGAAAGTTCGCTATACGGGTTCCATAGAAAGTCATGAACTTAATAATAGTAAATAAAGCTAATCTGTGGCCTTTGAGGTTCGGGCAAGTAACCCGAGGGATCTCTTTAAATCTAGCACACTAAGGTCATTTGATTTGGATGTGTTGGTTGAAAGCCTGCTACACGGATTTCAAAGAAAGCCATGAGCTTTATTTATAAAAAAAAATGTGTAATTAGAAAGTTTGTACATAGTTGTGTTTATAGTTTAATTAGATGTTGTGTTTAGGAAAATAAATGGCTGTCAAAAGATTCCCTTGGACTTGGATTTGAATTTATGACATTGGACTGAATGTTAATTACTTCAACTGGTGTAAGTGGTTTGAAGTTTGTAATCAATCTAGATAAATATTAGGGAATTTTTAGAAAATATTTTTCAGAAAAAGATTGTTGTTGACCAACAAATAGCTGGAATCGAACATTGTTATATTTTATGAAACAAAGATGGTTGAGCATGTTTTGTCATATATAATTTCACGAGAGTAAGACCATAATTTGTTCCAAGAATTGACTTGATAATATTGAAAAGGAATAAGTGTTGTGATCTTTAATTCTGTTGAGTTGTACTAGGGAGTGGCCAAAGTCTTGTTTCTATTATCATTTAATATTGTGAGACTAAAGCAAAGTTAACTCGAGGCATGACAGGTACATTCTCAACTATGGTACAAAACAGGGTAATTGGGTTGGATCATTTCATGTTTGTTTTGATTTCATGCATTAAGTTTCAAATAGTTTTAACATTAATTTTCTTTTCTTCTATTCTATTTTATTTCCTCCAGTTTAAATCTTCTTGTTCTTTCTTGAGGACAAGAAAGGTTTAAGCTTGGGGAGATTTGTTAGGTGCATTTCATGCATTCATTTTTTATAGTTTTAGTTCATAAAAGTGCATTACATTTAGGTTTAGACTCATGCATTTTGTATAATTTAGGGATTTTTCATGATGCAATTCCATTCACACGCTTTTAGAATATTTCAGGGACTTATGAAGGTTGGATCTTGTTGGAGGAAGTTATCAAGAGTTGGATACAAAGTTGTAGAAGTTTTGGAGCTTTGAAGAGAGAGAATGAAGAAATGAAGAATTTGGTTTCACAGGAGTTTACACGGCCGTGTAAATTTATGCCTTTGATTTACACGGGCCATGTAAACGTATATGCAGGGACATTCTACTTCGAAGACCTGGAAGACTTAAGCATTCTACTTTTCTTGTTTACACGGCCGTGTAAATGGAACCCTTTGGTTTACACGGGCCGTGTAAACGTCTCGACAATTTTAAAGTGGTTTTGTCTTCTTATAATTCAGACAATCAGTTTTTATGGAGGTTAGGTCGGATTTTGGGAGGAGAAGAGACGATTTTCAGAGCTTTGGCAATTAGATTAACACTTGGAAAACACTTTAATTTCTTTTTGTAAGTCAATTTGAAGTTTAAACTTGTTTGATTTGTAGTCCAACCTAGATATGTGTGGTTGATTTTATTATCATTTCCGAATCTGAATTCTTAAGTATGTGTTGTTAGATTGTAACTTGAATTTGACTTATGTTTAACATCTAGTAATCTTTGATTTAATCTTAATCATGTGTTTGATTAGTTCTCTTTTTCACTTGATCAATGAACTAGGGTTCTATTCAATCTAGTTAATCAAATCATCAAATTCGTATATGTTTTATGATTTGATGTTAGTAACACTCACTTACTTGGTTGTAATTAGATCAAAATTAGTGCAATCAAAGATTAAATGTTTATATTCCCAAGCTTAAGAGGAATGTTAAACATTGTTGGTAATTAGTGCAAGAACTTAATGTCATTTAATGATTTAATGCAAGAGCTTATTTGGGTTGAATCAAATAAATGAAATTTTATTTAAAGAGCTTATTTTGAATAAAATACTTTTGCCAATTTGGATATTAGAGTTTATTAATATCCAACTTACTAACCTAGATTGAACATGAGTTATAATCATATTACATCTTTCAACATAATACATATATAAGAGTCAGAATCGGAAATGTACTTCTTTTACTGCTATTGTTTTCAATCTTTCTTATTTATGAAGTTTAATTCAAGTTTAAATACAAACCCCCATTTCAGTATTAATTGTATTATGTGTGAAAATATGGTAAGATGAAAAGTCTCGTATCTCTGTGGACCGACCCTGCTTACTCTATTAATATTATTTTATCCCATCATTTGTTGGTTTGACACCCAAACAACGGTAATAATACTAGGTTTCGTCAAAGGAAAATAAATTATCAAGAAGAATATTGATGTCGGAGTTGGAATCACCACTTTAAGTATTTAATATAAATTACATGGCACGTATGGTTACTGTATGTGTTCTTGATATTTATACTAGATGAATGATTTACACATGTTTTATATGATTTAAACTGTATATGTATTTTATATCTATGAAAATGTTGGGTAAAACATGGGTAGATGAAATAGTTGATATGTGATAAAATGATTAGATGCCTTGATATTGACAATGATCTAGTCATCTAGCAGAGTATAGATGACGACCACAAACTATTCTAGACAGTCCAGTGGAACGCTAACATGATCGCAAACTATAGGTGTGTGTGAACGATGTGTTCACTGGTATACTCCATCCCCCTCATGGTTGCCTTATGGAAAATTATTGCTGAGAAACCCCTTAGCGGTAGTGTCCCTCCTGATTAAAATCCTTAGGATAGGTCTCTTATAATAGGTGCTTTAGGGACGTAAATAGAGGATAACAGGAATGGGTAATTGGGTTGATTGATTTGATGAAACCAATAAACTATTTATTGTGGGTTGAAAACCCTATATGCTCACCAGGATCCCAAGCCTGGCAGACTCAGTTTATTGTGTTACAGGTAGTGGCACAAGAGCATAGTTGTGATGATCGGATGAGCGATTACGGATTATAGGCCAGTAGAAATAAATAAATGTTGGAAGGCCTATGTTGTTTCGGTTTATGTTTTTGATCATTATTGACAATGACATCCCATGATTTTAAATATAAAGAAATACATTTCTTTAGAAATGCTTTGATAAAATATTTATCATATTATTGGGAACAAATTCGGTAACACTTTCTTTTAAAAGTATACCCTGATTTCCAAAGGAAGCATAAACAAATCGGTCTTTTCTGGCCGTGAAAATGGGGATGTCACAGTTGGTATCAGAGCATTAGTTTAAGCGAACAAGGAATTTGTAGGATTTCTAGACATAAACTTAGAATGGTAAGTGATGATTGTGAGATGAGTGTCTACTATATTTTAGACACGCACACTAGTTATTTTAGGAAGAATGCCTAAAATGCTTTTATGTGCTTAATGATTTACGTTATATCTATAAAGATGCCTTATATGCTATTATTTGTTCAGATGTATGGTATATTGCCGACCGGATATGGAAACCTTACGTGTTCAGGATTCTGAACATTCGACTACGATATTAGAACTAGCATGTAATGTTTCGAAGTGATAAGGAGGATTTAAATGTCTATTGTAAATAAAGGTCTAAATTTGCCTACTTTAGTGCATAGATCGAAATGGAGAGAACCAAAAGCATAGTCGGAAATGTTAATGCTAATGAGAATCGACAGCCTCAACAGCAAGTGATTATGCAAGTACCGATATTTGCAGCTGCACCTGAGCCAATCATGATGGTCGGGGTACAATTAATGATCCACATGATGTTAGATCGTCAGATGGAAGAGACAAGGTGTTTACTTCAATAGAATTAGGATGAACCTACCATGCCTATTGAACAACCTGAGTTGAACATTGAATAGTTTGATGAAGGGAACTATAGTCAGACTGTCAGTCAAGCTAAACCATGAATGGGAAGGAGAAACCACCACAAGGGATGATATGATGGATGTGGATGCAAATACAAGGATTTCATGGCATCCAAACCACCATGTCTTCTTGGAAGCCCAACACCGGTGGAAGTTATGGATTCGATCTCCGAGATGAGATAATTTTCATAGTTGAAATTGTAGC